AAGCTTAATATGTCATGTGTATGGGGAACGCTGTAGGTTTTCAAAAGTACAAAATACCTTCTTCTTTTATTGGCATTATTGTTTAACTACACTCCTCGTAGCTTAGCGCTCATGAACGGTGTACAAGATTCATGCTTCCTATGAAACCTGCAATTATCCTGTTATTTTAGTCATCCAAACGAAAATACGCCAAGAATAGGACCAAAATTCACTTTTCTCCGAAAAGCACATGAGACCATGTGTTCGATATTATGGTAAAGCTTCCTGTGATGTCGCCTGAAAATAAATTCCCCCCTCGCCCAAGTATTTTACGGAATTCGTGGTTATAGGTTTAATTTTTGTTTAAGGAGTGTTAATGCGTGTCTAAGTACACGGAAAGTGAACGGTGGAAAATAAATTAAAGTCACTTGTAACTATTTTGGTGAGCAAAGTATGTGTGCCAGATATCAGAAGAGAATCTGCCTTGGCGGTGGGATTGGTCTGACCTGAAATTTCCCATATGTACGTTGGGTGCAACGAAGGGGGTTTGCACGAGTCCGTTATCTACCCTTTATGGATGAAACATGTGTAACGCCCGAGCACCCTGTTGTCCTTTGGTAGCGTATCTTCTTCCTGATTATGGCCGGTACTCAGTCGTTCTTCTATGTCCGTTGTCTTCTGGCTGTGTCCACGCACTGTAATTCCACTAGAATGCTCGATCACAGGAACAGTCACTCATCGAGATGATAAGCCGAGGCCAAGTGTTAACACACACATATTTATTACGAGTACAGTAGAATAATAACGATAATAAACTGTCATACAGGAGAACACAGGTAACCGAAGAAGACAATCGGGGGAAGGTGGAGCTGGAGACTACCACCAGGAAGGGGAACACTCCGTGGGCCCTCGCAGGAAGGGCAACTGTTATTCACAACTGTCTTCTAGGGAGGGTGGGGCTGGAGACCACCACCAGGGAGGGGACAACCAATACACCACCTTACCTGCGAGGGCACACCACTTACAACATCCTGGACTCGACTCAAAGTCACCGCGCCGACGTAATTAAAACAAGGATCAATCTCATTGTTCTCTGAATACTACACATGAATCAAAATCGACCAACATAAACTCCTATTGGTTCAGTTAATGTTGCCTTTTGACCACTAAGAATGGTAGAAACTTCCTATTTGTTGGATAGGTGGAAATTCAACCTCACCATTCAACAATATATTTTCAGGCGGCCTCACAAGAAGACCCTATCGATATTATTATTATCCTATTTACACTAACAAACACAGCAAAATATTTCAGGTGAGTTCATTGCGGTTTACGTAAAGGAGTCGGGAGTAGGTATGTGCTTGCCACGATTATTGAAACGTGAACAAAACTTTTTAGACTGTCAGAATTCGACCCCAAGCCCACAGACTTATATCCTGCTGCTTATACTATGATATGAAATTGACAGAATGTCAGTTTAGACGAACAAACAGTCAGATCCGAACTACGGTGTCAAATCTGCTCCTTTCCTTTTGGACAAGAATTTTGCACCGAAGAGTAGACAAGGGACGTGCTAATTAACTTTAAACTAATGACTGCCGGTCAAAGTCTTGTAACACAAGTGGTTGAGACGTTGACGGTAGTCAAGCCTTGCTCTCACTGTCTTGAGTTCGCCTCTCATCGAGGTCGTCGAGTTTTTTCACAATCGGGTCATAAACCACAGATGAACAACTATCCATTTAATTTTTTTAGCAGCAGAGTGGTATGTTATAACTTCTACAGATGACCAGCTACTGTCCATGTGCGGTCCAGATCTCCGCAAATCTATTTAAACTTCGTACCAGGATAGTGATATTTTGTAACTTACATATAAATTACTATTTATTCCTCACATATTCCTGAGCTCGTAGTGACCAGCACAAATTCCTACTCCATTTATGCACCTAAGTACCTGCAGCTCATGCGTAGTTTGTGCTTTGCAACATATGAAGTCAGCTAAATATGCCTCGTGTTGCATAATAACTATTGCGTTCGAACGAGACGTTTGCGACAGGCTAATTATTTGGTTCGATAGATACAGAAGCTAGCGAGAAAAATCACGCACTAACAGCCTTGTGTGTTCATAATTTTTGTATCAAGCATAAACGGAAGTATTGGGTGACCTGTTGATTAACTTCTACTATGATTTGAGCTCTTATATGACATTTTATATGGAGCAGCAAAGAAGCAGTAAAATATTATTCTTGTTTCTGTACTTCTTTACAAAACGCATTTCCTGGTCTGCCCAAATCTTCTCGGTGCTGTATCTTCTGAACATTTCCCAAAAAAGATGCATGTTTCTGTTTACACTGCAGATTGTAAACACTTCTGGCCGCAAAATTCACAATGCCATGCTTCGAAGTTTAATTGCTGCAAAGATCGACTTCTTTCAATTCCACAGCGCAGGTATGACGGACGTACATACTCTGTAATTGCTATATCCTCGAACTTCTGTCTGACGGACAGGACCAGATTAGTTTTTCTATACTATTCCCTAGTAAATCTACTTTCGCACATGTAATTATTATTTTATTATTATTATTATTTTATTAAGAAGAACCTCGCTGGCAGTGATAAGTCGGCATTTGCACCTTTTTATGCTATTTTATGTTCCCTGCGCCCGTGAACATTTGTACCATAAGTAGGGAAATGAAATTTCTGTAACCATTTATGAGAATCTGGATCTACAAAAGACAGCTGAAAGTGATCCTACTCAAATTACAAAAATGAAATGTTTTACCTTTCAGGTCAAATAATCAACCGTTTCTCAAAGGATGTTCTTCAAATGGATGACGCATTACCTGAGGCCTTTCAGGATTGCTTGCAGGTAATATGATTACCTTTTTTAGATCTCATCATCCCCCCTTACCTATGCTTGACCCTGCAAACGTAAACAAACTTTCAGTTTCCACTGCCTAAATCGCGGGGCGGGCTGTGATCACACCAGTTCGACGGTCGCGTGACTGTGTTAGGTGACTTGCACCGCGTCATGCGCGCATACACTCTCCATCCTCATCCACCTGGGCCCGGTGGTAAAGCATAGACTGAACTATGGACGACAAGCTTTAGTTTAGTGTCCGACAAAGCTTAACAGCCCGTCTACTCGTGCCAGGTCTAGGCCGCGGCGGACGATGGCTAATAAGCCAGAAATGGTCATTCTAGTTTCCCTTGTCTTTGTTGGTAGTGTCCTTCTGCCTATATCATTAGCCGTCTTGCGGCATAGGCTCGAGTGTGAGCTCCAAAGGCACCATGAACGAATGAGTGTGTCCTGTATCTGATCGGTGTACGCGTGTCTGCTACTGTATATTTCCGATCGAAAACCAGCAGGACAATGAGCCCGTAGCTTTCGACTTCTAACCAATAAGGTTGCGAGTTTGAAGGCCGGGTACGGCACCACTTGGGTTGGGTATGGCTAGCTGACGACGGCTAATAAGCCAGAAATGGCCATCCTAGTCTCCTTTGTCTTTGTCAGTAATGTCCTTCTGTTTATATCATTAGTCGTCTTGCGGCATAGGCTCGAAGGAGTGCTCTAATGGCAACATAGACGTACGACTGTGTCCTCTATCAGATCGGTCTACGCGTATCTGATACTGTATATCCCCG